TAAGCAAAATCTGCCATCCGGTTTAAGAGGAGTTGCGTTCCCAAATTTCTATATGGTATATAGTGAAAAAATCAACAAAGAGCCATAATTCTGTTAAATTTGGTCGCAGCGAAAATTCCTTCCTTTACTGCCATCTACACATTAAGGGTGTTCATCCCTGGAAGTTTAAGCAAAATCTACCATCCGGTTGAAGAGGAGTTGCGTTCACAAGATTTCGGGACGTACGGACAGACGTACGGACGGGCGGACGGACAACTGCAACGCTATATGCCCCCCCCCACTTTGTTGGGGCATAAAAATTCCTAATGTTAGGATAACCTAATTGATCTAACACTGTATTAATAATATGGATTGGTATACATGTTGTAAGAAGGACGACCATTATTTTTCATAATTAACCAAAATTCTCTCTTCCACACAATCTGCTTCAAAAGCACTCGACCATGTTCACCATACATGTAGGTGTTGTAAACCGGATATGCAAATTATTTTCCCATTATTGCATCAGTTTATTCCATAAACTTAAGCATCTCTTTCCACAATACTAAAGGCTCTCTTATAAAAACAAACCACAATTTTGATTTTTATGACAAAACACTGTGAATAATTACATGTAATAGCATCTGACGAGGGCGTCCATTCCCTAATCAATATTGTGAATCATTTAAAACATATTCTCGCTTACCAGCTATTCATACGGTTTCTTAAAATTAATAAAAATATATTTTGACATCGCTATCATATTGAATAAAGTAATACCCCGAGAATTCGAGAAGGAATATTTTATCCCATTTCTTATTTAATTGTACAATAACTCCTTTAGCCATGGCTCATGATTAAGGTCATAAATATAATGAAAATGAAATAATATTTTTATAAATAAAGAGATATAAAATTTTATCATATACTCGTGCCGCTTTAACGACAACGTAAAAATGGTATGGCAAGGCCATACCATTTTTGACATGGCGTCATTAGCATTATACAAACATAGCGTTAAAGGGTGCTCATGTTGACGTTACACTATAGGCGCGTCAATAAAAAAAATGTTTGAAAATGGTTCTTATTTAGGTATGTGATAATTAAAATATTATATTCTTGTAGGGTCATTACTTAATTTATTGAACTCTTTGAATACAACAATATTATGCGAGCCCCTGTTATTTTATTCAACTCGTTCAAAAAATTCAGTATTGATATACTCTCATTCAATATCCTCTATATTTGCATCTATAAGAAGTCAGAGACAATGTTTTCATCGTCACAACTTTCAGATCTATTTAAAGAAGATATTGTTCTTTTGCACTTCTTTTCGAATCATAAAACAACCTTTTATAATATTTATAGTCATCACTAAACAATATCGTTCTTCTCTTTTTTTGGTTTAGTATAAGTTTTACTTTGACATGAAAATGAAATATCATTAAATGTATTAGAAAAAGCAACATTTCATTCATTTGCAAACATTATATACACCTTCTTACAACTTCTTGTTTATATCATTTCAAACAACTATACTAACGCTGAAACAATACTAAAAACACCCCATTTTCTGCTGTATTCCATACAAATTTATCAAATTATAAATATTATTTTAGCAAATATCTTAAAAGAGTAATTGATGAAGGACAGTGGTTAGAATATTACTTAATATCCAAAACACAAATATTTGAAATATTCTTAAAACAGTCAATGTTTTTTATTACATTATCAACAAAACTTGACACTCTTTTATTTCTACACACTAAATTGTAAGTACAACTTACTTCATATTTGCGGCAGGCTATTTTTCTTGCAAAGAGACAGCAACTTTGAACCATAGTTATTAACCGATTATAATCATTTTCGAGCAGAAGTAAATCGACACCAGATATAACGGACTCAGGTAGACTAAAATGTCGTTTCAAATTTAGGTCACAGATGTAATCCGACAAGTAAATAGACATCACCTATATTACTATATCAACGTATTTCAGTGTGTAGAAATTAAACAAATCAAAATCATATAAAATAGAATTCACATTTCTATACACAGCCGAATATTCCTGAGGAATATAACACAAACAGGTATAAGCATCATCTGCAGACTGTAAACAAGTTATATTTATATATATTAAATCAGTTTAAGTCTCTGTAATGCTTGGCATTTTTATTTGATTTCAGACGCGGGCATTAAAAAAAATCGTAACCCTCAATATTAACAATTTTACTAGAAGCATTCTAAATTTTATTAAATAACAGGAAAAAATCACATGAAAGGTTGAGAAACTCATTGTCTTGTAATTTCGCACAAAAGCCTTTAACATTCCATAAGAGGAACGATAGCTGCTTCTGATCAGTTTCTATAGCTAGTATTGAAACCAGAAGATGACATTGCTTCACTGCATACACTTTATTGTCCATATATAGTTTGTCACATTTACCACATTTCTTTATGCTGGCCATAACCAGAAGAAGTCTTTCTGCGGTCCTTAATATACTCCGGGAATGGACTCACTTACCCTGATCAACAGTTTAGCATATCGTTTTTGCACGACATCCTCCATTGACTCCATAACTTTTGTGTGGTACCAAAGATAAGTCGTCGGGTCGGCACTGCCTGGATTAGGCGCAATGCTATTGGCCGTGGCTCTGTTCAAATCATAATACTTTTTTCCCTTATATTATCAAATGAAAATATTATCCTGCATATATTTTTCGTTAGAAATATCAACTGTGTGTTCAGTCTGTAAACTATGTATAACATACTAAGTACATTTTTTAATGGAAAACATTTCAATAAACAAATATCATAACATTTTCTTGCGACATATTTATTATTATGTAAAAAATACAAAATTCAATGAGAGCACACTTTACACATTTAATATCTTTTTGTTGTACTTTGCAACATATTAAGATAGTAACATATCTTGCAACTCATCCTAGTTTTCGTGTTTGACAACAACCATGCGTTCTTACATGTCATCAGGTCTTGTTAGTAAAATTGATTTATAAACATGCAAAGACTTATTTAACAAACAAGTGAAATAATGTTGTATCTGCCACAACGCTTTTTTTTCAGGAAAACTAGTTATATCATAGTTTACTTAGAAAAGACCTACAGTCTAAAAGAATGTACTAGTAATCCGAAGAGGCTTTCTGCTTATACTTCCAAACATAGACATATCATTGACATTCAGAGACCATCCCGAAATAATTAAACTATGAATAAGTCTAAATGAAACTGTATTATATACTTTGATGTTGATTGAATAGAAATTGAATACTATTGAATGGTTATATTAATATTACACAGTAAAGGTTCATGTGAAGGCCCGGTGTTGTATATGATAGTGTTTTTATAATACTGCACGTTTGTAACGTCGCTTTTCATTGGATAATCGTGACGTATATATTTTAGTTATAAAGATTGTTGACAGCTTATATGGCCATATATAAACGGCAGTTCGTAAATATAAACCGAGCCGCTGTCCGGAATCTTTATAACGAATCTATAATACAGCGAGCATCATATTGTTTAGAAAAAGTAAGATATCTTCATAAATCGACAGCAGCCGTGTATATAAATCTACACGTCACGATTATCCAATGAAAAGCGACGTTACAAACGTGCAGTATTATAAAGTTTTTTATAATACTGCACGTTTGTAACGTCATTTTTCATTGGATAATCGTGACGTTTTATATGGTTTTATATACACGGCTGCTGTCGATTCATGAAAAAAAATCTTACTTTTTTCTCTTAACATGATGCTTGCTGTATTATAAATTCGTTATAAAGATTCCGGGCAGCGGCTCGTATATAAACGGCTGTTAGCAATATAACCCTCGCCTAACAGCTCGGGTTATATTTACAAATAGCCGTTTATATCGGGCCTTATAACCTGTCAACGATCTTTATAACCAATAACATACACGGCTACTGTCGTATTCCCTTTATTCCTATTAAAATGATGCTTGCTGTATTATAAATTCGTTATAAATATTTCTGACAGGTTACATTGCCGTATATAAACGGTTGTTTGCAATACAACCCTCGCCTAGCGGCTGGGGTTATATTTATAAACAACCGTTTATATACGGCCATATAACCTGTCATATCTTTATAACTAATAATATATAGCATGTATAGCAGTTACACCCATCTTTAACTTTATCAAAATTTTCTGAATGTACACTGTGCACATCTATTGTAGTGGAGACGCCTCATAATTGCAGTTTAAAATAGTAACAAATTTACATGGATTCCTGCATGATTATATCAATTATGATGAAATCGTAAGATGTTTACCTACTTTCAATGTTTTTATTACTATTTATCGTGACAAGTACAAAGTGTTGAACTTTTTTCTTCACAGCCCTTATGCTCGATAAAGCTTGATGAATATATCTTAACAACAAAGAGAGCGTGTTGCAGTTTATCATCAAGGAAAATATATACGATTAATTATTTGCATCAGTGTTAAACAACAGGTTTATCGTGAACAAAATACCTCGCAATTAATAAGGATTACAAACCCGAAATGGAAATTCTAAATTTAGAATTATTTGATTTTATTTAAGCTTTCTTCGCATAACTACCCTATGGTGCTGGGGTAACGCGCTCGCTTAGGGTGTGAGAGGTCTGGAGTTCAAATTCCAGTAGAGACAACTTTTTCTTTTAAGTGTCTTTTTTAAAGAAGTAGCAACGATATGCAAGGATAAAGTGTGGCTGTCATAAAAAATGAACATAAATGATTTTTTGATGCAACTCTATTCATGCTAAATTGTATCAAACTCAAACTTTAATAGTAAAAAATCTAAACGCAGTCGCTGCATCTCGATGCCCTGTAAGATGAATTATAGTATATAAAAATAAACTTATACAGGAAAATACATACAGATTTACAGATCAGAAAATACCACAGAGCTTGCAGCCTTTTGATTATTCTTGGTATTGGTCAGTGTAACAAGTAAACAAAGATTTTTTTATTATGTTTTTTGACTAATTATTACAGAGATTAACTATGGCTACTCATGCAAAAGTGAAAATCCAGCTGACCAATGTGTGACAAAAAACGCAGTATGTAAGGAACAAGCATGTACCTGTGACTCAAATCGGTATTTTATTAATGCGTCCAATGAGTGCGCACTAAGTAAGTATATAAACAAAATGTAAGTTATCAAAGTTAATGGAAATATTGGAATAATATGTTTAATACGGTTTAAGTTCGATAGCTTCAATGCATGCTATGTGTGACATGTATACTTGATTACGTATTTCTTCATAACTAATGAAACTCATATCAGATCCTGTATATAAATAAAAGCCTTAAATTTGAGCATAAACATAGTTGATAAGGCAACAAGCACACCAGACCCGTTACCAAAAATGAAATTATAAAAACGCCCATGTGTGACATCGCTATATTATATTAAAGGAGGCTATCAAAGTTTTGGAAGCTAAGAAATGTTCGCAGAGCGCTATAACAATCATCTCAAAAGAAAAATACAAAACTTTAATATACTAGTATATCCAAAATGTAAAGATTTAAACAATACGGATAAAGAAAGCTGGGAAAAAAAGAAGAGATGTCTTATCCAATTTACATTAGCAAAATTATTATAATAAATTGAAGAACAATATCTACCGGTTTCAACCGTTTAGGGATCTTCAAGATAATGACGTTAATAACGTCGTTTGGTAACGACGTCAATACAGCGTAAAGGGACGTATGTCATTCCTAAATAGAGGATATTGAATGAGTGTAAGTTCCATACTGAATTTATTGCACGAGTTGAATAAAATTATATTATGCGAGCCTCTGGCGAGCATAATATTATTTTATTCAACGAGTGCAATAAATTCAGTATGGAACTTACATGAATTTAATATTCTATTTATGACATGCCCAAGATAAAGACCGTTTAAAGTGAAATAACAGTCATATTTCATTGACGCGCCTACGTCACGTCAAAATATATGCACGGCCGTGCAATACCATATTTACGGAGTCGCAAAATCGGCACGGGTGTGTGATAAAACGTTTTATGTCCCTTTTAAACGTTATAAGAGTGACGTACATATATTAAATTTTATTTGTTCAAAACGAACTTGTTTTTGTAGTTTCTGAAGATAAACAAATGGATAGATATAGAAAATACATGGTTGATGTCGTGAAGGAGAAGGTTTATCCGGTGAGCGAGAAAGTGAATCTTGGCAAGCTTTAGCGAGCCAAGATTCACTTTCACAGCGAACCGGATAAACCTTCTCCAACCCGACATCAACCATGTATTTTCTATATCTATCCATTTATAAAAATAAAATCGGATGTTTTATGACAATATAATACAATACATCTTACACTGATGCGTTTCGTCAAATGCAAATCATATCCCTTTTAGATGGAAACACAACGTGTTTATACTTGCTTTAATATTAATTTAAGGATTAAGTCTTGTGCGAACTACCCTCATTACATGAAATCAGAGAATTGTTCAGTCAATAATTTGTAGACGGAGATAACAAATTATATTTTTCCATTCAAGGAAAAGGTACATAAAAATGTTATGCAACAAAGCAAGAAATTTAAAATGGGTCCCGAAGCGTAAAGCTGATGTATTTGAAAGTTTTATATACTTTTAATGTTATAAACGACTCGAATTTATAGCATACGTGTTGTTCAAAATAATAATTTTTAAAAGCTAATACATGTAGTAGGTAATACAAGTACTGTCACAACTTGTAAAGAAAATAATTGTGCATACTGTACTGATATCTTCGAAAGCAATTCACGTCTTGATCACTTTAAGAGATATTCAAGAGACATGAATCTTTGTCAGCACAAAAAGTTCATCGCCTGTACATATATCTTTTATATAGTATATCAAAAATAACAAGTGAGAGAAATCTTTGTCAGCATTTAAAATGTGAAATATTTTATATCACATTTCGCCAATGCATACGTCCGTCTTTCAAATCCAGTAAATCACACAAATATATAATTTTTTTTTAGTTATAGTGTTGTACTTATTTTTATTGCAGAGATTAACTATGGCAACACATGCAACAGTGAAATTCAAGCAGACCAATGTGATACAGGGAATGCATCATGTATAGAAGAAAAATGTTCCTGTGAATCAAATCGCTATTTTGTAAATGCGTCAAATGTATGCGAACTAAGTAAGTTTACAAGTAAAATGGTTTCCTGCGGTGAACATATTAATGATATATATAAAGATATTTCTTTTAACTATTTTCAACATTATTTGGGGGGGGGGGGAGGATAAATAAACGTTTGTATCAGGGTTAAAGTTGAATAAACGATCACTATGGAAGAAGGTCTTTGGAAACTGGTGACCGTTGAAGACCGGAGAAGGTCGAGCATAAAACAATAGCCTTCGATCTGAAGGTAACACTGTTCTAAAAATAGATTTTACCTAATCACCACTACATCACCTGTACTGACTTTCGGACAAGGGATTAGGCAGTACACATTATACATGATGTTAATCAGCGTATATTTACTTTGTTTACATGCAATATTTTAAGAAATTAAATACAATTGTAGAAAGCAAACAAGTTGGAAATGGAATTTAGTGTGAAAAGAAAAGGGACAACTACACACTGTACTTTTTTAAAGTTAAATTTAAACATATGTCACAATCTGCATCGACCTCTATATACATCTTTACACCTTGTCAATAAAACAAAGTTTAAAAAATGCACCAGTGATTGCCGACGATTTTAACAACAAATATTTTGTGTGAAACATAAAATAAAAAACAAATGTATTTTATTGTCTATAAGTAAACAGTGTATGTTAAATCACGGAACTCAATTGTCAATTCAGTTTTTAAAAATGCAAGCATGCATGTACGTATACATTATTTCTGAGAAAATAAATACTATAATCGGCATATTTTATTAGGTAAAATAGGAAAAATGCAGAGTTTTGCTTATTCTAAAATTATTAAAGAATTAAGATATTAATCATTAATCTAATACTCGAAGCACTTTGGTGTATATATTCATGACATCTCCAATCTACGTATTTTACATAGAAACAAGATTCTGTACGGTATATCTCGCTCTTTCATTTTTAGATCCCAATTTCTTAAAATCATACCATATCAAATCACCATTTCTAATTTTGATAAACAGTGAAACTAAAACAAATTGCCAAGCGCCGGCATTTTTCTCAAATTGACATGCAGGGAAAGTATTGCCCCGAAAGTTATTTCTTTTATCACCATATCATCTTTATTTTCCTGATGGTTTTAAACCATCTCAATCATGCTTTACGCAAGTTTAACTCCAGAAACATCATTTTCATTGAGAGAAATGTGAATAAAAGTATTCGTAGTTCCATTATGTTGTATAATCTACATGTAGGTTAACCAGTTTCCTTGTCCGAAACTTATCGATATGTGGCTATTTTTAGAACAGGTCTCTTATCAGTGACGTATACGATGCTTATCTCAGATCGTTCCCTATTATTTCTTTTGAAGAAAATGATTAAATATGCCTTCATTTTATGAATAATTCCGAGCAAAAAATAAATAAAGTAAACACACAAGTTTACGCAGAAAATATCTCTATTTATTATGGCTGATGCCACTACGAATATTTTAATTTTGTAGATTTTCAGTATTAACAATTTATTGTTTGTAAAATTTGAGATAGATATTAAAGATACATTGATAATTTTCAAACATATCATTCAAGTTTTTTCCAACTTTAACGGTAAAATAATTATAGAAAATTAGAAATAAACACCGATAAACACTTTCAGAACTAGCAGACGACTGGCTACCATTCATATCAGTAGAATTTCGAGTAAAGATAACGGATTGTACGAAAGCCTAATAGTGTCAAATGAAATAAAAAATAAAAATGCAAAGGCGTTATAACGCGAATAAAGGCGTAGTAACGCGAATCAAAAGGCGTAATTACGCGAATCAAAAGGCGTAATTACGCGAAAAAAGGCGTTATAACGCGAAACAAAGGCGTAATAACGCGAATAAAGGCGTAGTAACGCGAATCAAAAGGCGTAATAACGCGAATCAAAAGGCGTAATTACGCGAATCAAAAGGCGTAATTACGCGAAAAAAAGGCGTAGCAACGCGAATAAAGGCGTTATAACGCGAAACAAAGGCGTTATAATGCGAATAAAGGCGTGGTAACGCGAACCAAAAGGCGTAGCAAGGCGAATCGAAAGGCGTAGCAACGCGAAAAAAGGCGTAACAACGCGAATAAAGGCGTTATTACGCAAATCAAAAGGCGTAATTACGCGAAAAAAAGGCGTAGCAACGCGAATAAAGGCGTTATAACGCGAATCAAAAGGCGTAATAACGCGAATCAAAAGGCGTAATAACGCCAATCAAAAGGCGTAATAACGCGAATAAAAAGGCGTAATTACGCGAAAAAAGGCGTAGCAACGCGAATAAAGGCGTTATAACGCGAAACAAAGGCGTTATAACGCGAACAAAGGCGTAGTAACGCGAACCAAAAGGCGTAATAACGCGAATTGAAAAGCGTAATAACGCCTTTATTCGCGTAATAACGCGAAACAATAGGCGTAATTACGCAAATCAAAAGGCGTACTAACGCGAATAAATGCGTTATAACGCGAATCAAAAGGCGTAATAACGCGAACCAAAAGGCGTAATAACGCAAAACAAAAGGCGTTATAACGCTAATTTAATACCATATAAATTCCAAACAGTGGCCTATTAAAGTATTAATGTTTGGAAGGAAGAACAATGTTGATTTAAATGAATTGATCTAGATGTACGTTTTATTATATGCCCGAAAGAATTTCGGGCATATTATGTTATACCCCCTGGCGTCCGTACGTCCGAGCAAACATTTAGGGGCTATATAACAGTAAGGAGAACAAAAGAGAACAATAGGTTCAATCCGTGATCAAAGGGTTTATGGGCGAGTAGCCCTTAAGAGAGCAAAGAAAATAACAAAGAAAATAGCCCCTAAACCCAAAATGTTGGAACGTGCGTCCGTCCGTCTGTCTGTCTGTCCGTCCGTCTGTCCGTAAGCAATTTGGTTTCGGGAGCATAACGTAAGTTCCATTTGGCCCACAATATTCAAACTTCGTAGGAGGATTGTTATTTGAAGGAGGTAATACTTTATAACCTATAAGTCATCTTATATTGGCAAATATTAAAGAGTCTTTATTAGTTTATGACAAATAGTTTGCATAATTACTGTGCAAATAGAATGAAAGTTATTGTAAATGTATATTGTATTATTGTATACGAGTTTATATCTTGAGCAATAAATTCAGATCAATATTGGTCTTCCTTTCTCGCGAATTTGATTAGTATAAATATGGTATTAAATTGGCATTATAATGTGTTTTAATTTGCGTTATTACGCCTTTTGGTTCGCGTTACTACGACTTTATTCGCGTTACTACGCCTTTTGAATCGCGTTATTACGCCTTTATTCGCGTTATTACGCCTTTTTATTCGCGTTATAACGCCTTTATTCGCGTTACTACGCCTTTTGATTCGCGTTATAACGCGAATAAAGGCGTTACTACGCCTTTTGATTCGCGTAATAACGCTTTATTCGCGTTATTACGCCTTTTGATTCGCGTTATAACGCCTTTATTCGCGTTGCTACGCCTTTATTCGCGTTATTACGCCTTTTAATTCGCGTTGCTACGCCTTTATTCGCGTTCTTACGCCTTTTGATTCGCGTTGCTACGCCTTTATTCGCGTTCTTACGCCTTTTGATTCGCGTTGCTACGCCTTTATTCGCGTTCTTACGCCTTTTGATTTGCGTAATAATGCCTTTATTCGCGTTATAACGCCTTTGCATTTTTATTTTTTATTTCATTTGACACTATTAGGCTTTCGTAGGATTGCGTATCTCACTGTATAAATCGTATGTAAAATGGTCTGACACATGGTAGGTTTAACAGTTAATTAAACTACTTTGAAGTCCAAAGATGTGTTGAATTTTATACAGTGACGAAGCTAAGATCCAAAGCTTTCTATTGGTGTAATAAATTTTAAAATCGGACATTTAATCACAACAAACTAGCGGTTTAAAAACAGCTTATTTTGTATTGTTTTAGCATAAGCGATATCGATTTTACTCGAAGATAAGGGAAGCAACTCGCATTTATTCACTCGATATACCTCGGTTATTTACGTAGATCATATTGAAAGTGTTTACAGGTAAATCCGTAACGTACCTGCAAACGGTATTTAGCTAGGTTTTCGAAAAGGTCAATTAACCAATCATGTACTGTTTACAGATCACATGCTCCTCCATGTACCGAAAACAGGTCACGTGCTCCTCCATGCCTCAAAAGTTAAACGCGTACCAATACCCTGTGGTCTCCAGACCGCAGGGAATAAACACAATGTTAGTTATAAAAGTTATTGGGAATATTGTTATGTTGTTTGTTTAGCATGGTTTAAGTTACTTTGCTTAGATATAAGTTATGTAAGATCTGTATATGCTACTATGTATATGTTATCAGTACTATATAATTAACTTAAGATTCAAATGTAAACGTTTACCAACAACATACCATGTGTTTTATTAAAAGACAATAAATGATGTTTTAAGAATTGACAAGAACAAACATATCATCCAAACCATTTATATAATAATCAAATTAGTATTATGTCATGGCGTCTTTTATGTCATGTCCATGTATCAATAACGATTTTCTTCATATCACATGGCACTTTCTGTGAGACTGCTAATATAACATCATTGACTTTTGTTTCTACTTTATCTGTATCTACCAGATACGAAATAAACTTGACATAAACATTTTAAATGATACTGTGTGTGCGGCTTTCTAATGGGTAAGCCTTATTTGTAACATACAGTTACACATCATAAGTTATCATCAATTTCAATGTAACAGTAAATTATAAAACGTGAATTGTAAAGCAACAAGTTGTGCATTTATATATATATATCTACAAACTTATTCAAAACTTGCTAATTTTAAGAGATGTATCAGCCAGATAAATCTTTGACAGCAAAAGAAAAAGAAAGATATAAATTGTGAATTATTTCGCAATATGATTCGCTATAACATATATATTTGTCTTTTGAATATAGAGAATCGAAAAAAAAACATAAAAAGATTTGTTGAATATAGTTTCGTATCTATTTATTGCAGAAATAAACTTTGGCGATCCATGCAAGAGTGAAATTCCAGAAGACCAATGTGTGACAGAAAACGCTGCATGTATAGAACAAAAATGTTTATGTGACTCAACTCGTTATTTTGTTAATGCGTCAAATGTATGCGAACTAAGTAAGTTTATAAACACAATGTTAGTTATGAAATGTATTGTAGATATTGGTATGTTGCTTGTTAAATATGGTTTTGAGTTCGTTTCCTAAGAGACATGTTTAGTGTGACTTGTAGTATAAAAAGTAAAGAACAAGCAAGTGAAATATTTTGTATTATGTTTCGACGATACATATAGCCGTCTATTGAATCCAGTGAATCACATAAATATAAAATGTTTGCCTTTTTTATAATAGTTTTGTACCTATTTATTGCAGAGATTAACTATGGCAAAACATGCAACAGTGAAATTCCAGCAGACCAATGTGATACAGGGAATGCATCATGTATAGAACAAAAATGTTCCTGTGAATCAAATCGCTATTTTGTAAATGCGTCAAATGTATGCGCACTAAGTAAGTATACATATACGATGTTAGTTATAAAAGTTATTGGGAATATTGGTATATTGTTTGTTTATGATGGTTTAAGTTATTATACCCCCAAAAACGAAGTTTGGGGGGTATATAGGAGTCACCCGGTGGTCGGTCGGTTGGTCGGTCGGTCGGTCGGTCGGTCGGTCCAGACGTCCGTTGCATTTTCCTTGTCCGGAGCATAACTTGGAGACTTATGGCTGGAATTCAGTACAACTTCATACAATGGTCAAGCACATTGAGAGGAAGTGCAGTGCACAAGAACCATAACTCTATCTTCACTAATTACCGAGTTATTGCCCTTTGTTACTTTTCCTTGTCCGGAGCATAACTTGAAAACTACTGGTTGGAATTCAAAACAAATTCATACAATGGTCAAGCACAATAAGGAAAATTGCAGTGCACAAGAATCATAACTCTATCTAAAGTAATTTCAGAGTTCTTGTCCTTTGTTACTTTTCCATTGCTTTCTTTTGTCCGGACCATAACTTGAAGACTAATGGTTGGAATTCAATATAACTTCATACAATGGTCAAACACATTGACAGAAAGTGCAGTGCACAAGAACCATATCTCCACCATGACTCATTCTAGAGTTATTGCCCTCTGTTACTTTTCCTTGTCCGGGGCATAACTTGAAAACTACTGGTTGGAATTCATAACAACTTCATACAATGGTCAAGCACAATAAGAGAAAGTGTAGAACACAAGAACCATAACTCTGTCTAAAGTAATTACAGAGTTATTGCCCTTTGTTACATTTCCATTGCTTATTTTTGTCAGGAGCATAACTGGAAGACTAATGGTTGGAATTCAATACAACTTAATACAGTGATCAAGCACATTAATAGGAAGTACAGTGCACAAGAACCATAACTCCATCTTGACTTATTACAGAGTTATTGCCCTTTGTTACTTTTCCTTGTCCGGAGCATAACTTGAAAACTACTAGTTGGAATTCGATACAACTTCATACAGTTATTAAGCACATTAAGAGGAAGTGCAGTGCACAAGAACCATAACTCTGTCTAGAGTAATTTTTGAGTTACTGCCCTTTGTTACTTTTCCATTGCTTTTTTCTTGTCCAGAGCGTAACTTGAAAAGTACTATTTGGAATTCAATACAATTTCATACAATGGTCAAGTATATTGAGAGGAAGCGCACTGCATAGAAATCATAACTCTTTCTTGACTCATTTAAGAGTTTTTGCCCTTTGTAACTTTTTAATGTCCAGTGCATAACTTGAAAATTAATGTTTGGAATTCAATGAAACTTCATACAATGGTCAAGGGCAGTGAGATGAAGTGCAGTGCAGAAAAAGAATAACTCTATTTTGACTCATTATAGTTATTGCCCTTTGTTACTTTTTTGTCCAGTGCATAACTTGAAAACTAGTAGTTGGAATTCAATACAATTTCATACAATGGTCAAGCGAAATCAGAGGAAGTGCATTGTACAGTAACCATAACTCCATCTTCAGTATTTGTAGAGTTATTGCCCTTTGTTCTTTTTCCTTGTCTGGTGCATAACTTAAAACTAATGTTTAGAATTCAATGCAACTTCATACAATGGTCAAGCGCAATGAGAGGAAGTGCAGTGCTCAAGAAGCGTTACTCTTTCTGGATTTATTACAGAGTAATTCAATAAAACTTCATCAATGGTCAACCATATTGTAAGGAAATGCAACATACAAAAACCACAACTATCTTTAATTGCCCACAACCATAACTCTATTTCAATTCTTTAACAAGGTATTCTGTTACTTGTAACTTCCTCATTTCTGAAGCTGTCTTGCGGGGGTATTTATCACATTTAGTGATAGTTCTAGTTTTGCTTAGGTATAAGTTATGTAAGATCTGTATATGATACAATGTATATGTTATCAGTACTATATAATTAACTTAAGATTCCAATGAAGCGTTAACTCGTAATGTCAAATTCTAGTTTAACAACAAAATACCACGTGTTTTATTAAAAGACAATAAACGCTTTTTTTTGAATTACAGTAGATAAAACATATCGTCCAAACCATTTACACAAATATCGAATGAGTATTATGTCATCGCGTTTTGTTTGGTCATGGCACATAATTACGAATTTCTTCATATCACATGGAAACTTATGTGAGACTGTATATATAAATATGCTCTAAAACATAATTGGCTTTTGTACATGTGTATCTACCTCATCTGTATCTATCAGATACGAAATAAACTTGATAAAAACATTTTAAATGATACTGTGTGTGCGGCTTTCTAATGGGTAAGCCTTATTTGTAACATACAGTTACACGTCATAAGTTATCATTAATTTCAATGTAACAGTAAATTATAAAACGTTGGTGACATGAATTGTAAAGCAACAAGTTGTGCATTTGTATATATATATCTACAAACTTATTCAAAACTTGATAACTTTATGAGATATATCAGCCAGATAAATCTTTGACAGCAAAAGAAAAAGAAAGATATAAATTGTGAATTATTTCGCAATATGATTCGCTATAACATATATATTTGTCTTTTGAATTTAGAGAATCGAAAATAAACCCATAGAAATTTGTTGAATATAGTTTCGTACCTATTTATTGCAGAAATAAACTTTGGCGATCCATGCAAGAGTGAAATTCCCGAAGACCAATGTGTTACAGAAAACGCTGCATGTATAGAACAAAAATGTTTATGTGACTCAACTCGTTATTTTGTTAATGCGTCAAATGTATGCGAACTAAGTAAGTTTATAAACACAATGTTAGTTATGAAATGTATTGTAGATATTGGTATGTTGTTTGTTAAATATGGCTTTGAGTTCGTTTCCTAGGAGACATGTTTAGTGTGACTTGTATAGAAAGTAAAGAACAAGCAAGTGAAATATTTTGTATTATCTTTCGACGACACATATAGCCGTCTATTGAATCAAATGAATCACATAAATATATAATGTTTGCCTTTTTTGATTGTAGTTTTTTTCCTATTTATTGCAGAGATTAACTATGGCAAAACATGCAACGGTGAAATTCCAGCAGACCAATGTGATACAGGGAATGCATCATGTATAGAACAAAAATGTTCCTGTGAATCAAATCGCTATTTTGTAAATGCGTCAAATGTATGCGCACTAAGTAAGTATACATATACGATGTTAGTTATAAAAGTTATTGGGAATATTGGTATGTTGTTTGTTTAGCATGGTTTAAGTTATTTTGCTTAGATATAAGTTATGTAAGATCTGTATATGATACAATGTATATGTTATCAGTACTATATAATTAACTTTAGATTCCAATGAAGCGTTAGCTCGTAATGTCAAATTCTAGGTTAAAAACAAAATACCACATGTTTTATTAAAAGACAATAAACGCTTTTTTAGAATTACAAGAGGTATAACATATCGTCCAAACCATTTACACAAATATCGAATGAGTATTATGTCATGGTGTCTTTTTTGTCCATGTAACATAATTACGCATTTCTTCATATCACATGGCTACTTCTGTGAGTCTGTATATATATAAATATGCTCTAAAACATAATTGGCTTTTGTACCTACCTCATCTGTATCTACCAGATACGAAATAAACTTGATAAAAACATTTTAAATGATAATGTGTGTGCGGCTTTCTAATGGGTAAGCCTTATTTGTAACATACAGTTACACGTCATAAGTTATCATTAATTTCAATGTAACAGTAAATTATAAAACGTTGGTGACATGAATTGTAAAGCAACAAGTTGTGCATTTGTATATATATATATCTACAAACTTTTTCAAAACTTGATAATTTTAAGAGATATTTCAGCCAGATAAATCTTTGACAGCAAAAGAAAAAGAAAGATATAAATTGTGAATTATTTCGCAATATGATTCGTTAAGACATATATATTTGTCTTTTGAATTTAGAGAATCGAAAATAAACCCATAAAAATTTGTTGAATATAGTTTCGTACCTATTTATTGCAGAAATAAACTTTGGCGATCCATGCAAGAGTGAAATTCCCGAAGACCAATGTGTTACAGAAAACGCTGCATGTATAGAACAAAAATGTTTATGTGACTCAACTCGTTATTTTGTTAATGCGTCAAATGTATGCGAACTAAGTAAGTTTATAAACACAATGTTAGTTATGAAATGTATTGTAGATATTGGTATGTTGTTTGTTAAATATGGTTTTGAGTTCGTTTCCTAGGAGACATGTTTAGTGTGACTTGTATAGAAAGTAAAGAACAAGCAAGTGAAATATTTTGTATTATCTTTCGACGACACATATAGCCGTCTATTGAATCAAATGAATCACATAAATATATAATGTTTGCCTTTTTTGATTGTAGTTTTGTTCCTATTTATTGCAGAGATTAACTATAGCAAAACATGCAACAGTGAAATTCAAGCAGACCAATGTGATACAGAGAATGCATCATGTATAGAAGAAAAATGTTCCTGTGAATCAAATCGCTATTTTGTAAATGCGTCAAATGTATGCGCACTAAGTAAGTATACATACACGATGTTAGTTATAAAAGTTATTGGGAATATTGGTATGTTGTTTGTTTAGCATGGTTTAAGTTACTTTGCTTAGATATAAGTTATGTAAGATCTGTATATGATACAATGTATATGTTATCAGTACTATTTATTACATGTTTTGCAGTAGATTACTGAATTATAACGGTAAATTATATTCTGATAATTTCACAGTAATGATTACCAAATATAATTTCACAGTAGCCGAACTATATTTGGCGTAAAAATAAAATATTTATCATTAATGAATGTTTTTTTCAGCGGAAATGTAGTCAATCATAATAAAGAAATGTACGTGATAACTGTAGTTCGTAAATATTTACGAACGTTGTGCTGAAAAACATCTAAAATCTAAAAATAATCATGGAATTATATTTTGCTTCAACATTGTGACGTCAATATTTGATGACGTCATGAAGATAAGAGCATGACGTTACGCGGCAAAAATCAGTCAAATGGTGTTAAAATCGTTAAAAAATCATGAAATAAACAGAAAATTTGTTTGTTTTACATGTTAGATCAAATAATATTTCACTCGTGAACCCCAGCTATTATATTTTCACTCGTGGCTACGCCACTCGTGGAAAATATTGCATCTGGTGTTCACTCGGTGAAATATTTTTCGATCTTGCACTGAAACAAACAAATATCCTTTATATAATTAACTTAAGATTCCAATGAAGCGTTAACTCGTAATGTCAAATTCTAGTTTAACAACAAAATATCATGTGTTTTATTAAAATACAATAAACGCTGTTTGGAATTACAAGAGATAAAACATATCGTCCAAACCATTTACACAAATATCGAATGAGTATTATGTCATGGCGTCTTTTTTGTCCATGTAACATAATTACGCATTTCTTCATATCACATGGCAACTTATGTGAGACTGTATATATAAATATGCTCTAAAACATAATTGGCTTTTGTATCTACCTCATCTGTATCTACTAGATACGAAATAAACTTGATAAAAAACATTTTAAATGATACTGTGTGTGCGGCTTTCTAATGGGTAAGCCTTATTTGTAACATACAGTTACACGTCATAAGTTATCATTAATTTCAATGTAACAGTAAATTATAAAACGTTGGTGACATGAATTGTAAAGCAGCAAGTTGTGCATTTGTATATATATATATATATCTACAACCTTATTCAAAACTTGATAATTTTAAGAGATATATCAGTCAGATAAATCTTTGACAGCAAAAGAAAAAGAAAGATATAAATTGTGAATTATTTCGCAATATGATTCGCTATAACATTTATATTTGTCTTTTGAATTTAGAGAATCGAAAATAAACAAATAAAAAAGCTTGTTGAATATAGTTTCGTTCTATTTATTGCAGAAATAAACTTTGGCGATCCATGCAAGAGTGAAATTCCAGAAGACCAATGTGTGACAGAAAACGCTGCATGTATAGAACAAAAATGTTTATGTGACTCAACTCGTTATTTTGTTAATGCGTCAAATGTATGCGAACTAAGTAAGTTTATAAACACAATGTTAGTTATGAAATGTATTGTAGATATTGGTATGTTGTTTGTTAAATATGGTTTTGAGTTCGTTTCCTAGGAGACATGTTTAGTGTGACTTGTATAGAAAGTAAAGAACAAGCAAGTGAAATATTTTGTATTATCTTTCGACGACACATATAGCCGTCTATTGAATCAAATGAATCACATAAATATAAAATGTTTGCCTTTTTTGAGTGTAGTTTTGTACATATTTATTGCAGAGATTAACTATAGCAAAACATGCAACAGTAAAATTCAAGCAGACCAATGTGATACAGAGAATGCATCATGTATAGAAGAAAAATGTTCCTGTGATTCAAATCGCTATTTTGTTAATGCGTCAAATGTATGCGAACTAAGTAAGTTTATAAACACGATGTTAGTTATAAAAGTTATTGGGAATATTAGTATGTTGTTTGTTTAGCATGGTTTAAGTTATTTTGCTAAGATGTAAGTTATGTAAGATCTGTATAATTATGATACAATGTATATGTTATCAGTACTATATAATTAACTTAAGATTCCAATAAAGCTTTAACTTGTAATGTCAAATTCTAGTTTAACAACAAAATACCACATGTTTTATACAAAGACAATAACCGTTTTTTTTTGAATTACAAGAGATAAAACATATCGTCCAAACCATTTGCACAAATATCGAATGAGTATTATGTCATGGCGTCTTTTTTGTCGATGTAACATACATATCACATGGCTTCTCCTGTGAGTCTGCATATATATAAATATGCTCTAAAACATAATTGGCTTTTGTATCTCTACCAGATACGAAATAAACTTGATAAAAACATTTTAAATGCTAATGTGTGTGCGGCTTTCTAATGGGTAAGCCTTATTGTAACATACAGTTACACGTCATAAGTTATCATTAATTTCAATGTAACAGTAAATTATAAAACGTTGGTGACATGAATTGTAAAGCAACAAGTTGTGCATTCTGTATATACATATCTATAAACTTATTTAAAACTTGATAATTTTAGGAGATATATCAGCCAGATAAATCTTTGACAGCAATAGAAAAAGAAAGATATAAATTGTGAATTATTTCGCAATATGATTCGTTAAGACATATATATTTGTCTTTTGAATTTAGAGAATCGAAAATAAACCCATAAAAAAATTTGTTGAATATAGTTTCGTACCTATTTATTGCAGAAATAAACTTTGGCGATCCATGCAAGAGTGAAATTCCAGAAGACCAATGTGTGACAGAAAACGCTGCATGTATAGAACAAAAATGTTTATGTGACTCAACTCGTTATTTTGTTAATGCGTCAAATGTATGCGAACTAAGTAAGTTTATAAACACAATGTTAGTTATGAAATGTATTGTAGATATTGGTATGTTGTTTGTTAAATATGGTTTTGAGTTCGTTTCCTAAGAGACATGTTTAGTGTGACTTGTATAGAAAGTAAAGAACAAGCAAGTAAAATATTTTGTATTATCTTTCGACGACACATATAGCCGTCTATTGAATCAAATGAATCACATAAATATATAATGTTTGCCTTTTTTGATTGTAGTTTTGTTCCTATTTATTGCAGAGATTAACTATGGCAAAACATGCAACGGTGAAATTCCAGCAGACCAATGTGATACAGGGAATGCATCATGTATAGAACAAAAATGTTCCTGTGAATCAAATCGCTATTTTGTAAATGCGTCAAATGTATGCGCACTAAGTAAGTATACATACACGATGTTAGTTATAAAAGTTATTGGGAATATTGGTATGTTGTTTGTTTGGCATGGTTTAAGTTATTTTGCTTAGATATAAGTTATGTAAGATCTGTATATGATACAATGTATATGTTATCAGTACTATTTAATTAACTTAAAGATTCCAACGAGCGTTAACTCGTAATGTCAAATTCTAGTTTAACAACAAAATATCATGTGTTTTATTAAAAGACAATAAACGCTTTTTGAAATTATAAGAGATAAAACATATCGTCCAAACCATATACACAAATATCGAATGAGTATTATGTCATGGCGTCTTTTGTGTCCATGTAACATAATTACGAAATTCTTCATATCACATGGCAACTTATGTGAGACTGTATATATAAATATGCTCTAAAACATAATTGGCTTTTGTATCTACCTCATCTGTATCTACCAGATACGAAATAAACTTGATAAAAACATTTTAAATGATACTGTGTGTGCGGCTTTCTAATGGGTAAGCCTTATTTGTAACATACAGGTACACGTCATAAGTTATCATTAATTTCAATGTAACAGTAAATTATAAAACGTTGGTGACATGAATTATAATGCAACAAATTGTGCATTCTGTATTTATATATCTACAAACTTATTCAAAACTTGATAATTTTAAGAGATATATCAACCAGATAAATCTTTGTCATCAAAAAAAGAAAGAAATAAAGAGTGAAGTATTTCCCAAATGATTCGCCAAGACATATATATTCGTCTTTTGAATTAAGTGAATCGAAAATAACCCATAAAAAGATTTGTTGAATATAGTTTCGTACCTATTTATTGCAGAAATAAACTTTGGCGATCCATGCAAGAGTGAAATTCCAGAAGACCAATGTGTGACAGAAAACGCTACATGTATAGAACAAAAATGTTTATGTGACTCAACTCGTTATTTTGTTAATGCGTCAAATGTATGCGCACTAAGTAAGTATATAAACACAATGTATGTTACAAGGGGAAATAATTCACAAAATAATGATGTATAATAAAAGATTCATTTTTATGGCCATGACTCACATAACTTTAAGAATAATTTATAAATTATATTGTAAATTATTTAATTAATGGAATGGAATGAAATAGAAAGAAAAAAGCCCTGGGAACATATGCTGACTTCCTTCGATTTAAATTACAGTAACAACAAAAAAGGCTGGTGGCGAATACTGAAAAACGCCACAAGGCTGGAACGAATGCAATGTCATTCAGCCATATCTCCATCAGAAACAATGTCCTTTTACATTTATATTTTGAATCATGTACCGTTTTCTCCCTCTTAAATAACGCTTTAGCAGTGCTTTTTGAGAATGACAGAATGAATAGTTACACATTGCACATACATAAGATGAATGAACCAATTTTTACCAAATATTCCAGTAATTGTATCAGCGTTATACATGTTTATGACAAGCAATTGGTTTGAAAGTTTTCTTAATTATGTGATACTCAAAACGAAGATAATATCAATAAAAAAATCCTGGAAGATGGATAGACTAAATGAATTTGTTTTACTGCTGTTACTAGACACACATGCACTAAATGAAGCTTGCTTGTCTGCAAATAGAATTGTGAATAAACAAGAAACATGTTAGAATGTCTAAAAATAACTATTGACAACCACACAGCAGGTAATTTGAAATGATTATTTGTCCAGCTTCAACTTCTTCATAATTAAAAAAAACTGACAAATGAGGCTAGTTTATCAGTGTTTTTTCAGATAGCTTGACTCTGGGTTAGCAAATAAAAAAGAGGGCAATGATGGTTCTATTTTAACTATCCTGACAGGAAAAAAACATTCAAAAGCAGCGATACCAAATGGTACCTGCTGTTGAACAGCCACCGTCTAACAGATCAGATCATACAATTTTGACATTGGCATAAATTATACTAAATCAAATGATGTCACCTCCCTTAAAAACTTTAGGCATCTAAAAATATTGTATTCATAGGAACAAATTAATTTAATCAAATGAACACATTTCAAAAACCTTCCTACATTATGTAGTAGCTGCTCAAGTGCAATTCTAATGTTAAACTTATGCGGTATTTCTAAGACATTGAAAACATATTATCCAGCAAATAAAGCTTTCCATCTATCATTAGCATGTTTAAAATCCAGTCTCTTTCTCAGTACAACATTTCTTTTTTCATTTAAAAGTTAAAAAAAATGAATTTAAACATACTGCAAAAAACTGTAGAACTGTGCAAAATAAATGTTACCTTAGACAGTGTTCCCAGATTGGCCACAAAGCTTAATACGTAGCATGCTACAGAAAGTGAATAACTAAAATTATACCACCTTTTACCTATACCAGTTCCTATTCTATGCGATATGGCTATAGATGAAGACTTGTCACTTCAACTGTAAAAACATCTTTATGACTAAATAATTATATAAATTGGATAAGAAATATATATTATGTTAAGTATTTATATAATGCTTATCTCATTTTAATGTTTTTGATAAAGAGTTTGACCTGAATCACTATAGCATTAAAATGTTACCACCCATTTGTATTACCAGCCAGCATCCACAACAAGATCAATCATAGAAGACTTTCATATCTAGCTCGAGGGAAACAGTTTACAGCGGTAACGAGGCTCTGTCGAATTTCTGTAAAACAGTTATCCGAGACCCAGATACTCAAGTCTGATTCTTTTTCTTGCATATAACATATCAATCTTAATTCGAAAATAAATACGAAAACTGATATTTTCATGTACCGCTTTTTTCTTATGACGTCATTCTAATGGCACTATTCATTCATTACATGCGCGAGTTATAATTTTATAAAAAGACGCAACTTGTCGTACACGGGTAGTGTTAAGTGTAACGGAAATGTACTTTATAGTTGATTTGATTGCCTCCCCTTTTAATAAGTTCGCCGTTTGCATTCAAGTCATTCGTAAATTTAATTAGATAGGAAGAGTAGGAATTTTAGTTGTTTTTATCGTCAAATATATAGTTATAGTTAGGATAAGTTAGCAGAATCATCCAAGTGTTTATATTTTGAAATGCTTGTTTGCTCACAATAATTTGTATGGAACTTTACTTCAAATGACAGACGCTTATAAGGTTTAATTAAAATCAGATTCAAGAAACGTTTTATTATTTTAGCCAATCAAAATCATTGTTTTTATTCACTGCGGGCTTCACAAGCATATAAATAGAGCGAGTTCAGTGTAAACATTCAGTCTGGTCCTGTCCGTTGGAGAGTGGAAACGAAGTCATAAATACTTACTGGTACGCAAAAATCTCAGATTTCTGGTACTAAGGACGTTTTATGATTTCTGTAAAATTCCTTGGGCATAAATTATTTTTGGAAATATATTTTAATTTAGTTTTGGTTTTGGCTCCGGACCGTTAAGATCGAAGTTGTAATTATATTTACTAGTAGCCAGGCATCTTAGATACTGGTGCTAAAAATATCTTTACTTCTTCAGAAAATATTTTATGATTTAAATAGTTAGTCTGCCTGTTGTCCTTGCAAGAGTTGGATATAGGTAATATTGTATTTACTAGTAGCCAGGCATCTTAGATACTGGTGCTAAAAATACCTTATTGCCTAAGTAAAACCTCTTGGACAAGTGTTTGATAGAGAAGAGTTTATTTGAAGACATTATTTGAAGAATCGGTTTTTGAACGTTTTATGATAAGAGATTGTTGATTTGAAATATTAAAGTAAGAAAAAAGATATAAGTTTTTTTTAGGAATGTAAATTTTAGTTTGTTTGAAAGTAAGTGTAAATAGAGTTTAAGTATTAGTTGAAGATTGTTATTTTTGCATTTTGAGTTTTTATTAAGTTGATATATAACCAAAAGGTTAAGAAACCACAAGGAAAATTTATATTTGAATATTTCAAATAATTTCGGATAAGTATCCTAAGAAAAATTATATATTTGCATTTGAAAATCTTGTGATTTAAAATCGTTTTATTTTGTAGCTATAGATTAGATAACCAATAGCTCGGTACACGCTACATAAGAAGCTTTTTTCTAGCACCAGTGAAAACAGAAGATATATCTGTCCGAACCACACTCACATGTCAAAAGATTTTCTTGCATATTCTGTCGTATTCTTCTATTTTTTCAATGTTTGCCTCATTAAATGTTTTTTTTTTTCATTGACTTGGATGTCCTTTCATCTGTTACTTTTCTCTTAAAGTAGCGTATGAATTTACAACTTCATTCATATGAAATGACATATTTTAAGAACGCAGTTTCGTTCTAAAATGCTCAAAATTATGTGTGTTTTTGATTGTTTTTTTTTTTTTTTGGAGCACGTTACACATATCCAGCATGGGTAAAACTTACGGAAACTCCAATCTGATATGCAAGACAGACTTTCATTTGTTATATTTTGTAAAAACATGGTGTCGGTTTGTTCATTTCCTGTTATGGTGCAATATTTCCCGAAGTTCTATGCTCTATAGTTGGATATGCGAAATGGTATTTCATGCCTCCTTTTAAGCAAAATATGGTTTTGATATAATTTTATTGAAGTTTGCATAATGACTGAATAGAAAAAACAAAAATAAACTCAAATGAAATAAAGTATCCATATGCTAGGTTTAGTGTTCTGCTCCTGAAAGTGACATAAAGAGTAAAAAAACCCTCACATCCCGGGACAGATAACACAAAAAATAGAACGGTAACCGCCAATATCTTCATCAAATTGTTTCAATCATGATTCTTTAAAATCATGCAAAGTTTAAGAATTTTCACCGCTTGTTAAAGTGTTCTCTATTTGCCTTTTTGTAAAAAAATACTAAAATTTTCAATTACGGACCTAATAGCTTAATGAATGAACATAATTATCATATAACTTCACAATATAAAAACATGGCCTATCATACATGTCTTACGATTGGTACGTTTTATTACAATTGCTCTATTTAACAGAATATCGTTTAATATATTAATACATCATCATTCAATAAAAATTATTTGCATACATTCAAATCATGCAATCACAAAGATGTGGCAGATATTGAAAAATATATTTTCATGCAGCAAGTCCCTTATTACACACATTCCGAAGTCTAGTTTGATATCATTTTCAGCGAAAATATTCAAATTTCTAAAATTTGTTGCACAGTAAAAATAGTTCCGAATAATGAAAAAATATATATATAAATATAAAAGACATTCATTTTCCTATACTAAATACTGATGTTGTGTTATGTACGTTTAACTATACTCACTATACAAAGGAATTTGAATAGGTAAGATAGGACATAGAGACATTAAATCGCTCACTTTTTTAGAACACTTCGCCTCTAAACACCCCCCCCCCCTCAATCCTTTTTTTCTTTAGTAAATATTTCAATATTTCAATATAATGCTTTAAAGTGTCTTGGATGTCATAGGTGTAAAATGTTACGAGGTGAAGTGTCTGTTAACATCGGCGATGTGTCCCGTATAATTGCAGCACCTCGACCGGTCTTGCCAACAAGCATTATAAGTGTCTTAAATATGAATGTTTATTTAAAATCGTAAATTGCTTCTTTTTAAAGACGAAATCAATGAGTTATACAAAAACCCTTAGCTTGTGAGGGGAAAAATTTCTTTCATCCATTGATCTTTACTCAATGATCGTACACTTTGTACTCAAAACTTTGTACCCAATAAGACTTTTTTACTCAACGTTTTTTTGGACTATCCCAAATTTTAATCGCAAAACCGAGATTTTTAAAAATGAATTTTAATTAGTACCCTTTTGGGTTTTTTTTGTAACCATTTTAACCCCCCTTTGTACTGAAAAATAGGGGGGGAGCTTGTTGATAAAAACAACAGAAATTATGCTTCGTTTTTTTCCTTTTCCTACCACCACATTTACACCAGGAATAAGCTAAGAATCTACTTATTTATTTGACTATGGATCTGTATAAAAAATTTAAATTAAAAAGTGGTATATCTTGATAGAATTTGACTGTTCAAGCTATTTTTTAGATCCTACAAAAACTTGAAACATGTCGAAAGAACGACTAGATGTCAATGGACATTTATATTTGTCTTATTGGTAAATTAACAGGCACAAAAATTCGGACTGATTCATAACAAAATTTGTTTAGATATATTTACTTACAAATCTAGTTGACATGGAAACCTCGATCTTTGTGTGTACAGTGTTTGGCGAGATACTAGCATATAAACCTTTATAAAAGTTGACTGGATAGCCTATTGATTTAAAATGGCAAGTGCCAAAACATTCTTGAAATTTATTACTTTGTATTTCATTTTTGTGTCTAAAACTGTAAAAGTTGCTTTTTAAAATGATTTTGCAACAAACTTAACCATAAGTAATGACTACGTTATAACATAACTCTTCGCTCATTAATATCTGCAGAAGCACAAGGAAGCATTTAAAGCCTTAAACCACAGCCCGAGGGCATTTGCATATGTTGATACACGAAGAAAGTTTATTTCTAATTTGCTAATTGTTTTGTAATTATACTGTTTCCAGATAATGATATTTACGGGCCATCATTTGCAGAACTAGCTTTTTTTTACTTGAAATCCCCGAGTCACGCGTATTTTAAAAAAAAAACGTTCAACAGCGTCGCGTGATCAAATGATTTTATTTGTTAAGGCATATTTTCTACTTACGTGCACAGTTGTTCTTTTTAAATTATATAATTATTTTTAAATTCGAAAATCCATAGGTTTTTTTTATTGATTTCTTATTGCATGTTATGACATTTATTACTGCATGTATTCCCAAAACTAGGCACCAACTTAAGTGGAACAAATGTTGTCCGAATGTGTTTCATTAAGAAAAGTTATTAACATAAAATAGGACCATGATGTTTAAATACGTTTCACTTGTGTAATGGAACTAATTACATGTTCCACCTGTCACAAACGTTATTTTAAAAAGAAGCCGGATTTATGTATGTTTATTTATATTACATATATCTATATTATTTAGGAGGTAATGAGTAAATGACTATTTAGAAATCGTTGTGCGACAAAACATTATGCTTGTTTTGCATGAGTAAATTATTATACTTTTATTGTTACAGGACCCAATTTGACATCCAACGAGACTCTTTTCTTACCTTTAAATGGGAGTGTAAGTACAAATGCCTTTACGGTGGTTTGGTTATCGTCAAGCATCACATTTAAATTCATTGTGTATGCAAATGGAAAGCGTTTTCCTTCCTATCCACCAATAAACAGTGTGACGATCGACGACCTTAACTCTGGAACCTTATATCATACAAAAGTAAAAATTCAGGTGAACGGTATTGAGAGTGAGGACGCCTACGAAAAAGATATTTATACAAGTAAGTTTCAACCAAATCATAATATCAAGGTTCTCAATAAGCAATCAAAATCAGTCATAATAATGGTAATCTTAATTTAAAAATGTGTAAACCTAAGAAAATTTAATTCAAGGAATGCTATTGACAAAATGGCAATCAATTTTACTTTCTACGAATGCACAAACAAACAAACTTATTATTTTACGGTTTTAAAGCACTTTATATATTTAATTCATAAAATTAGTTTTTATTTTCTTTAAAAAGTTTTCATTTTTCCCTTCATATCCTTTTGAATTTGCAAAATTTTTCTTAAACAAAACAATAAAGAGGTATTTTTACCGCGAACATTTTCACAAGAGTAAATTAATGTAGCTGATATTCTCTTTTAAGAACCAGCAATGTTATCCAAAGATGAGGTACATATTAGGGAAGCGACTGAAAATAGCCTTACATTGGAGATAACACCAGCCGAAACAAAGAATTGTGATGAATATATGTTGCAAATTTCGCCTGCACCTGAAAACACTAATGGAACAAAAAGGAAATATTGTTCCAAAAGCACCTCATTTACTTTCACAAACCTCAGCTCAAGCACGATGTACAATATTGCAATCACTGTTATAGCAGGTGGTTATAATAATGATGCTACACCTACTGTTACGGCATATACATGTAAGTTATTTTTATATTATTTTAATTCTGCCAAAAAGATATAATTATGAATGGTTTAAAATGACCATTAAATTACATGACAATTACATCAAAGTGTTATTCCAAAAGGAGGTATACAAGCATATTTGTTAGAATATGATTAAAAGCTACAGATATGTTTTAGAACAACAATAATGATTTATTGAGATAAATGCTTAATTAAAAAGTTTTAAAGGAATCAAGAGAGTGTAAACAAATAACCTGAAAAATTATAAATGTATAAATAATAGCTTGTCTCACTTGTTCAAGACTTGTTCATGTATTAATGATCTTTCCGTTATAAAAATGCAGATTAAAAGAATGGGAAGTTATCAGAAAAATGTGATTCTAGTTAGTTAATCTTTCAATTCTTCACACGTTTCCCTAATTTACTTTAACATTACATGACTGTTCGAAAAGGGTATTCATCTAATGATTTTCGTTAAGATATTGGACAAATATAAATGAGATATATTTTTATCAAACTGTTTGAAACAAATTGAGATATATAAATTCATAAAATATATAAACAAGAATAAATTATATAAAGTCATGAATTACGTTATTTAGATAAGAATCATTTTGTGCCGCATTTCGGAACGTGTGACTATACCAATTAGGTTAAATGGAAAAGCCATGTAGTAATGCGATATAGAGTCAGACGAAAATTTGTTCAGTTTTATTGATATTGAATATCTTTTGAAAGTTGTGAAAGGGGTTGTTAATATATATTCGATCGCCCTTTGCGCTCTTAGATAATTTTATCTACTTTAAAAGTTTTTTATAATGCAACCTTATTCTTATCTAATACAAGCTAAAACTATCTTGAGAGAAACAATAAGTCAAACACAAATTAAAATAGATGGCATGTTCTTTTCGCGTTCTAATTGCTATCAACTAATTGTATTTATATAAAGCATTGTTACAAACATGGTAGATAACTGTGATCAATCTTTCTTAAGAGTTAATATTTAAAAAAATTCACTTTCAGACCCAGATACGGTACAAAATGCAAGTGTTGTCAAGCAAAGTGATTCTTCCATACATGTCAGTGTTTATTATGATGGTAACAATAGCGACAATATAACATATGCGTTAATTGTTCAGTCAACAGACGGACTTCTTGATGATACCAGCTGCGGGCAAACTAGTGACATGGTCGTTTTCTCAAATAATTCCTTTTTCGAAATCAAGAATCTTAGAAGTGGATCATATTATACAATAGAAGTATACTCCTGTTTCAATGGTTTGAAATCGCGACATCCCTCTGTCTTAAAAACTCTTACAAGTAAGTTTTTTATATTACAAGCATAAAAATTTATGTATAAATCGTTTGAACGCAGAAAAAACTGTGAATTTCAAAAATAGCTATTAATGAACGTTGTAGTATGTAAGTATTATGATGACATTAATAATGATTAAGTTAATTTAGGGCTTTGACAATATTATTAGAACTTCAAATATATATTTTTGAGTTTTGTTTTATTATTGTACAATTATTAATTAACGAAATTGGTAGACATAAGTGTTTTTCTTTTCAACACAATGCTGAAAATTTCAAGGGTTATCGAATTTTGTCAAGGTAGAAATATATGTTTAAGAAAGTATATGTTTGCAACTTTATTTTCAGAACCCGAAACTCCAACAGTAAGTCTCATAGAGGTCAGTGAGCATGCGTTAACCGCACGTTGGAATGTTTCTACTGCTAATCCAGCTGTAAATCTCACAATTGACATTTCACCTAGACCAAATATTACAGAAATAGATATTCCAGTAACTATTGACAAGGGTCAAAATGTCTCGGGAACTTATATTTTTCTTGGGCTGATTGCTGGGAAGAACTATACAGTTACCGTGCATGGTATTATAGAATCTGCAGAAAATAATTCACAAGGAATAGTCAATGGTGAAAATGGCGAAATTCAAACATACACGAGTAAGGGAAATTTCGTACAATATTCTGTCGAATTATTGCTTCTTAAAATATTTTGAACTTAACGCGTAAATAATGATTCAGAATCATTTAAGTTTAGAAATGATTATCATGGTTTCAGCTTAAACTATCTTATCTTTTCATTTTGTCTGTTTACATAACATCTGAAATTATCAATACAAACTATTGCGGTTTCTTTCCTTTAAGTAGGTTAACACATCAACGTAACCTTCCTACCGACATTTTGATGCAACATATTGAATAAATTGTCAATGAAAGTAAAAAAGCGCTGCATAAATACGAAAATGAATGTTTCTCTCATGTATGTGATTCAAAAGCAAAATAAGGCATCAGTGAAATTATAGCTTAATTTCATTAGCGCTCTTCCTGTCCGCATTATGCAAGGTATTAAAAGGACTCATTATAGTGCGGAGACCCTAAAATGACATTATACAATTTTAGTTTATTATATGTATTCTATTTTGGTTAAATGAAGAACCAAAACATATTCATAATTAAACACATGTATACTGCCACTTTAGGAGGACGTTTCAGCACAATGAAATAGTTATGATGATCTACTTTGATGTAAATTTGACTTAGATCTATTTAAGATCTTTGTCAAATTTTAGTATCATGTTTTGTATTAAAACAAAAATAATTGAAAAGTTGTGTAATTTGAAAAGTTGTGTGAAACTAACAGAATACCTTTTTCTATTGATTAGGACCATATTCTGCAGAAATAACAGTGGCACATCAGTCAGAAACAAGTATAGAATTTAATGCGAGTAGTAAAAGTGATTTCGAAAAATTACTAGTAGTCAGCGATAAATTTCAAGATAAAGTAATAACTTTAAAAGATGGTAAATGGGTGGTGAGAAATTTAACAATAGGAACAAATTATACAATGAAATTCTACGCTATGATTGGTGACCAGACAAGTTCAAATTTCACAATCATTGAAGATATATGGACACGTAAGTTATTTTCATATGTCGTGGAAGAATCCACTGTTTATCGTCACTGTTGTCATAAAATTGCTTATTATTCAATCGGCTTATATCAAAGTAGTTTCAAGCATTAGAAACATGTACACAATATCTCATGCTGAATCATTCTTTTTTTTTTTCATTGGTCGTAACGTCGGTTCCGATGTTTTACAAGCGTATCAATAAACATTTTCAACAGCTGCGAATTTAATATTTCTTTATCAAGAACTGATATTAATTTTAACTCATTTG